CCACCGGGTGATTATTGTCAGTTCTGAACAGACAAAACTGCCATCTTACTTCACCAAAAAACTATTTCGTTCACAAAATAAAAACGAACATAATAATGACAGTTTGGCAAAAGCAACAAGAATTTTTTCTTCCATAATATAAAAGTTAGCAATACTGTAATACTTTCAAACTAATGTTAAAAATACAAGTTTTTCTGCCATAATATAATTTCCAGTATTACATGAAATTGCCAAAAACTTGGCAAAATGTAAAGCCAATATTTAAAATCAGAAAAACCAGAATTTTTATTGAAAATCATAAATTTAACATCAGAATTCAGAAACATGAAGTCAATGTCCAAAAATCAGAAAAATCGATGTCAAAGTCGGAAAATTTCCATGAACCCAGAAGATTCTTTCGAAAAACAATAATATCAATGAGAATAATCTGTTATTTAAAGCAAAGAATAGAGGAGAACAAAGAAGAATTAGAATAAGAATAAGGAGGAGAAGAAACCTGGATTGGCGATGGTGGAAGCAGAGGCGGCGACAGAGAGGTGTAAAATCGGCGGTGACAAAGAGGAGAGGCGAAGTCCATGGTGTCGGCAGCCCTTGTTGTCGGCAAAGAAAAACCATAGTGGTAAGCTGCGCAAGAGGAGAGCCCCGGGCATGAGGAGACAAATGGGAAAAGTAGGGTTTTGATGCTATTATATAGGAGGGTATAAACTTTAAGCCCTATTTGTGCATTTATGTTTAGTTTTAGTCCTATATAGGGTAATTACTAATATATCTTCCAGCCTATTACTTAAAAGTCAAAACTATGGCTGTTGCATTTCTTGCTGCTTACTAATTTTCTTTGTGATGTGCAGTTACCACTTGCAAGTGATGTCAACTTAGATGCAGTAGCAGATATGACTGACGGGTTTAGCGGAGCTGATCTTCAAGCTCTTCTTTCGGATGCACAGCTTGAAGCTGTTCATGAACACCTGAATGGTCAAACTGGTACCCAGCCTTGCAAGATGCCTATAATTGATGATGCTCTTTTGAGACGTATTGCGCTCGAGGCAAAGCCTTCTGTTTCAGACAATGAAAAACTACGGTTATATGACATCTACAGCCAGTTTTTGGATTCAAAAAGATCAGTTGCCTCTCAGGTCTTCTCCCTTATAGGTCTTAATTAATTGTGTATCACAATCCCCTTCCCTGTCCACCAACCCTTTGTAGCAAAGGTGAAATTGCTCACCCTGAGCATTCCCCCATTCCTTCGCCAAGGCATGAGACCAGATAAATTGGTGTACGGAGTGGCCTCTTTGGTGGAGGCTAGAACTCTGGGCTTTACCCCAGAGAGTATTGACCATCGGCTTGTACCAACTCTCCTCCTTACTTGTGTGGATAATCCCATTGTCGTAATGGTGTAAATGAGGGTTTAATCCCTGGTCAAATTGGGTAATACCCCTCCATTTTATATTGCTCATTTAGTGAATTTGTTTTACAGACTAGAGATGGAAAAGGAAAGAGAGCCACACTTGCCTGAGGATCAGTTACAACTCAGAAGTCTACAACGCAGGAACTACACATGGAAATGTGAATTCCCAGCTGAAGATTGCTGCATTTACTCTGTAACTTCAGTGTTACTCGCATGTCAAAAGTCTCTGCTAACAGGGCCATTATCCAATATCTATTTTATGATAATTAATAAACCATCAAGTTTATGTTTTCTACCCGCAGGTTTGGGAAAAATAAGATTACAAAGTCAGTCAATGTTTGGAGGCATGAAAAGAGATTTAGAGGCATGGAGGATGAAGAAAATGACCTTGAATCCAATGAAGATTTACTTTCGGACAAAAGTTCATTATAAGTGAAAGTTAGAATATGTGTGATTGTTGGATTTGTTGCTACTTCATTATTAGGATTATTATTTATTCATATTTAAGAAATACTCCATCCCCCCTATATGTTGCAGTAATTAAGCAGAATTGTGTGGTTGATATGAATTGATACAGTGCGAATAAAATAAGAATGAATTACTATAAGAGGGATGAAGGTAGTATAAGAGTAATATATTACTCCGTACTATAATTTTGGATCACTTATATTTTAAATTCTTATTAATACAGGGTTGAGTAATCAATGAGTAATCGGTCCTACTCGCTACTTAACCTTTGGTCGAATTGCCACTGCGTAGCGATTTAACTACTCAGGATCTAGGTTAATCCAATTTTAGGCAGATGTAAAGTTGCCAGTCTTCTCACGTAGTTTGACTGAAAATCTTGTGTGCGTTGTTGGTGACTTGGTGTTCGTACATTTTATTTTTGCTAAATTTAGCAAATTCTGATAACTTTGACTATGTCAGTTTTAGGCCATGCGAAATGGTTGGTTCCTGTTACAAGAAGACTTATGAAATAAGTCAAATAACAACTGCTCAAAGCAATATTCTAGATCCTGCCGGGTCAATTAAAGCATTCTTAGAGCAACTCCAATGCAAGGGTGTGGTCTCTTACACACCCTTACGCATGAGTCCCATTTTTTATCTCACTATTTTTTATGTGTAGGATCCACATATTTCCTAATTTATTTTCATTTTCATTTTTTTATATCACTTTTAACCAGGCCTGGCCCGGGGGGTTCCCGGTGCGGGCTCAGCTCACTTAAAAGCCGAACCGGCCCGGCCGGTTCGGGCCCGATTCCGGGCTTTTTATTTTTATTTTTTTTTCAATTTTTTTAACTTTTCGGGTTGGGTATTTTGGGCCATTTGGGGTGGTTTGGGGGTTGAGGGGGTTAATTAGGAAAAGGAAAAAAAATGACCCGAGGCCCGGACCGGACCGGGTGGCTACCCGGTCCGGTCACGGGTCCACCTATTTAGAACCGGCGGCCCGCCCGGGCCTAGGCCTGGGCCGGACCCGACCTGAATTCAGCCCTACTTTTAACCCACTTTTTATCAACTTTTCCTCCTCGAATCCCATGTAAGGTCCATTTATAGACCTTGTCATGGATCTTGGTTCATTTTCTATCTCTACTTTTCTCCTCTTTTTCATTTTTCCCTACACACCACTTCATTCAAATATTCATTCTATCTCTATCTCTCTTATGCCATATTAGTGCATTGCACCCCTCCCATTGGAGATGCTCTTACACGATGCATTTGTACCTTCTTAAAAATTCTTAAAGCTCAAGGAAGTTATGGATTTATCAGATCATTTATGGTCTGGACCAAATGACCAATCACTTGGATATATTCGTTTGGAAATAGATGCAATCAAAGACATTGGATTTACCAGATCATTTACAGATTGGACCAATCACTAGGATATACTTCGTTTGGAAATAGATGCAACCAAAGACATTGGCACTCAGATTAAAAAATTCATAGAAATATTTTGCATTCCTACTTTGCCCTTGTTTGAATGGCTAAGAAAATCTTTTCCGCTCCCTCTGTCCCGAAATAATTGTATGTTTGCTTTAGCATACTTCGTATGTTTTAAGAAAATGGTTGAGATTTGAGTAGAAAAAAGTAAATTGATATGAGATATATTATTGTCAAAAGAAGAAATAAGACAATTTTTTTGGGACATCACAAAAAGAAAAGCAAGACAATTATTTCAGGACAAATAGTGATTTCTCGAGTCTTGAACGACATATTTTTTACAAGAAATTAACATACTTTCTTTGGCTGCCATGGATATCTTGGTATCTTCTTTCTCTTGTTTATCTTTATCGTTTTTATCTAATTATCTCTATAATATATTGAGAAATTAACATCTCTCAATAATTATACCAATATTTACAATATAGCTGATTTAATGATTTTACTTTTGATTTTCTCGGATTCTTTGAATCCAAAATCGGGATTATGGGATCTCCAAAATTTACCCATAAACTGCTATTTTACAAATCTCGCGCTTCCTATTATTTCTAGTAGTTGATTCAAAGTTTCAAACTACTACTTAATTTCTCCGTTCATGAAAGGTTGGAGCCCGTAAAAGACCCAATCAAATAGGTGTTGACCGGGGTAGACTGAGTGTCTGAGCAACCAAATTTGTGTTAAGTAGAGAGGATTATAGTCCTTAAGGGCGTCTTTTATTACCAACAATAGAAATGTCGCAATTATGTTGAAACTGCAAAAAATGAAGTGTTATAATTATTATTTTTTGAATATAAAGGATCGGCTTTTATAATAAAATCGAGAAAAAAATACAAGATAACATCCAGACACTTGTGACAAATCCAATTATGAGCCCCGTAAATAAATATAGAATCAGTCACCTCATAAAAACCAATGTGATTCTCTAGACACGAAATGGACAATTTAAAGTCTAAAACAATCGGGACTGAAATATTGTCTATCAAACATATGCTAGAAGTCCAAATTTCCAAACCAAATCTACTGAAACTAAAATAAAAACCAATGGTCAGGAAAGGTAATGATAAAATGCCTGGAAATGGTTACATCTGATAAGAAGATACAAACAAGGCTATGAGATTCCTGGAAATGGTTGACGTGATTTTAGTTGTGCAACTTACAAACAGACCACCTTATGAATCTTTGTGCAATCAATAGACAAGCAATTTAACAGTCTGTCTTTATCATCAGCTTGCAGATTTTTATGTGGACAAACGAAGGCAAAAGGAATAAACTTCAAAATCTAGTAGTCATTTATTCAAGAAAACCTCTTATATTAGTGTGGCAATTTGACTGAACAATCTTAGACTCGATTACTTGGTAAATGTAGTAAAATATGAGGTTGTGGAGCATTTATTACTAGAAGGGAACCATTAGCTATAGATTGATCTATTTGATACCATTGTTCATGTATTTTACTTTGTTGCACCTCTTTGGGTTGTAGTCTTTGCTCCATTTTCTGCAAATAAAACAATGACATATTTACATTGAATGATTGAAGCTTATCATGTATACTGCATACAGCATACATTTCTATCACACAAAAAAAACTAATTTGCCAATTCTATGGTGCCACAAGACGGTCATTCATATATTTATTAGTTATATTAACAGTTGCAGCCAAAGTGCGAGTTGAATCCGAGCAGCAAAAGTCAAGCAAGAAAGTAATAGTTCTGAGTAAAAGATCTTTGGCTGACTAGGTCAGAACAAATGTATCAAATAAATTATTTTCCATTCATGCTTCATCATGGTCTAAAATAATTGATCACTCTTATTCTCCATGATGTCCCTCGGATTAGGGTGGGGGGGCAAAATCGTATTCAGTAGCTTAACCTCAATGTTACGAAATACATTTTTGTAGTTCGCATTCTAGCAACTCACAACCAGCTTTGCATGATTTTACAACGGATGAAACAATTCTTCGTTGTAGGTCTTTAAATTCAACCGCAAGCTTTATATCCCACCCTGCGTTAACCCTGCAAAAGTAGAGAAATGTTTGCTTAGATCAGTCACAACTCACATTTGTATCTCTTTTGAAATGATATCACGGAGGGTAGTATCTACTTACTGCTCATCGATATCAGCATCCCCAAGTGATTCCATCATTGCTTCAAAGGTCAAGCAAAGATCTCCAAGTATTTCTAGTTCAATTTCCAAGTTTTCAGGTGTCTGTAAGCAATGAATGGTTTTAAGCAATTTTTTCATACATCGATGCAAAAGATATGCAGGCGCATACACTTCAAAATGGCTGTCCATGTGTCAGACACACGGACATGTGCTGGACACACCACATGGCCTTTAGATGACCAGACATGTGATCAATGGGTTAGGAGACAGTCGACGTCTAGGGCACGATTGTGTCACTCCTGAGATCCAATTATTGTTTAAATAGTGGTATTTTAATTTATCTAAACTGAATACTTGTTGGTTTTAACATTTATCTAAATATCAACACTGCATTTTACATTTTGTTATATTTTTTTATTTTATTTTATCATGCTGAGTCCTTGGCTTATACTCCCTCCGTCCCACTAAGATTGGGACAATTCGGTTTACGATGCTTGACCGACGATAAAGCAAACAGATCTCTGTCCGCTTTCAAAATATTTTTAGAAAAAAAAATTACATATTCAGAAACTACATCAAAAGCTTTACAAAGTCGCAAAAACCCGAATCAAATTTCATAAAAAATTGATATACAAAGTACGTGATTAAGAGTGATTTGTGTTGACCAAGTGAATAGTGTCTGGGACAATCTTAGCGGTATGGAGAGAGTATGTTATTATTATTACTCCGGTATTTTAATATGCCATGTCCCCTTGTTACCGTATCGATACTTCGGGGAAAATCTCAAGAAGGGACTCCAAGAAAAATCATAAACACAAGAGGTGAAAAAAGGAAAAGGAAATCACCAGGGCTATTGTTTTTAATGAAGCACACTGAGCTCTACGCATATGATCTAATAAAGGAAATGGCAATCCATAGTGGAAGATTCCATGGTTTTTTGAGAACCATGTACCCCTCACCATGTGCGATGTCCAGCCAGGGGTAAATCCCCCCTCCTCAAAACCTTCATCCATGACAATATCAATATCTGCTTTATAATACATACTTGTAACATTCTGAAGCACAAAGAAATTATCTCAAATGTACATGTATGAGTAGCAAAGCTTACCTAGTGGGATAACATCATATGGATTTTCTAGCCGTGGCAAGAAACCATAGAAAGTAAGTAGATGAGAACTGGATAAGTTCCCATAGCTTAAGAAACATTGTTCTCCTTTGCTGCATGGTCTTGATAAAGGAAACCTCAAGGTATTCGTCACAGAATCAACTTTTCCATAGTTCACAACGTGTGCAAACGTCTATTTAAATAAATAAACGGAAATCAGCATTCAAATTCTTTTGCATAGTTACCACTTAGCTACACTCAATCAGTAGTAACAGAAAATGATGACATTGTCATCATCATTTTCATTTACCCCAGTGCCGCAAAGGCTCCCATCTCTGGTGGGGTAGGGGGGGGGGGGTCGGATGTACGCAGTCTTACCCCTGTACTAAAGCACAGAGAGATTGTTTCCGGATGACCCATAGTGAAAATCGCCTCTAAATGATGACATTGTCACGTAAAAATACAATTATGGCGTCATTAACCAGATCAACCCACCAGGTTATCACAGTTTCAGAGGTTGAGCCTTGGGTGCGATTTTTTACCATATCCTCAAGAAGCCATATAATCCATCACTAGCACTTATCACTTTTGTCAATGTGCCAGGAACTCTGGCAGTGCAGGCATATTATTTATCAACAACCAAGCAACCACCTAGCTCTACAATTAAACCTAGACCAATGAATGTTCAATAAACCAACGAGCTTGCTAACTAAATAATGTCTTTGGGTCCTGACTTGGGTATCAAGGAATTGAAGAAATAGGGCGATAACTATGCTACAAGGTCTTTTCGTGTGAAAAAATGCATTTACTGTTAAATTTGTGGAGTGCATACACAGCTTCAGGAATATTTTGCTAGTGTTTGTAGCATGTACTTGTTTAAGGTGACTATTGCTTGAAATACCACCTTTGACTGCACTTTTCGAGCTTCTTATAGCGAATGACTGGCATTGTACTACAAATAAGGTTTAATTCATGTCAATTAGGAAAGACGTTTACTTGCTAGTTTCCAGAATTAAAAAAAACGAGTTTACTTCACCGGTTGGCAATCACTGCCACTGGTTTAGAACCCGCCACTACAGATGACACCTCCTCTTGCCAGCGACCTCCACCATTGTTGGCACCATGACTGGTATTGTGTTTACTAAATAGAATATAGGAATATTCTTACTTGATGCTAAATAGGAGACATTATTACTTAACTAGTTCTTACTCCGTATAATTTAGTAAGCATAAACAAGTTTACTACACCGGTTTTCCAAAAACATAAAACAAGAAGCTGTTCTTCAATTTTCTGGAACTTTGAGTTTTGACGCTACTTTGACTTGAAACTTTAGATGATCAACCATGGTTGTGCTAGATGTGTTGTGCAACAACATGCAACATATGGTTGTCTATCATCAAGGGGCAGAAGGATGGAGTAGATGCACTCTTACAGGTCATGGAAACTTCCAAATCAAAGGACCCTAAGGCTTCCAATGAGGAAGACATAATTAAGAGCTTAATTGGCTATATAGTTTGTTGAAGTTGTTGTAAAACAAAGAAACTGGTGGACCACCCAACGAATTACACTGAAAGCAGCTACAAGTGATTTATAATGATAGAGAGAGAAATGCACAGCTTCACCAGCTTGAAATTTATACTTTGAGAATGGATGAGGACCAAAAGTACAATAGAGCTAGAAAGTGAACTTTTTATACCCTTCTGCTGAACCTTGATTCGTTGAAATTCTAGTTCATAGCTATGATCTCCTAAAAAAATAATATTTTAATAGAACTTACAAGTAAAAAGAGGAAAAACTTGATCTTTTGTGAATAGTTACAAGATTTGGTGAAAGGTCACAAAGATGGCTCAAATACCATGTTATGAAACGGAAGAATTATAAAAACACTTGATTAGATAACACTAGTATATAGCCTCTTTTGAGTCATCACATGCAAACTTATTGAATGCATTTCTTGTAATGTAGTTGGAGGACTCTAGGCATCTCAAAGAACACATATTAAAGATACATTATAAGATACATTATATTGATATATTTTCATGATTTATTATGAAAATAAATAATTAAAAGATAAACTGCTCAATATTTTGGTGATATTTAGGATGTTTTTACTTGGACTGAAATTTATTGGTCTGGTCTGTTTAAGTCTGGTCTGGTCTGAACTGTTCTGGTAAATCTCTGGCCTCTCTGTGTATTTTATAACTATGGAAGTCTGGTCTAGTCTAGTCTGTTTAGGTCTGGCCTGGGACTGAAAACAATCCAAGTAAAAACATCCTTCGTATATCCAATACAGTGATTCTTTGATAATATCACGACGATAATGCTAAATGGTGCCACAAAATTGATGATGTGATTGCTTATTAGGTAGAAAAAAGAGGTAATTTAATGAAAATAGGAAGTATTTACACTGACCGAATGATTCAGAAATCCAGCAATAGGAATCAAGCACATTCTTAGATTTCCATCGCTAAACATTATCTTCATGCTGTTGGAGTACCAAAGTTCACAAGCCCATAGGAACTGCTCCCAGGTGTAAAGCTTTGGAGGAAATGTACCAGGGTGATCATTGCTGAGTGCCGGGAACAACTCATCATATTGTAACCGTAAATGCTGCAAAATGTAATCATGCAACACTAAGATAATGTGGTATGGTGAAGTCCACATAAGAGAGAACAATTGTAATGCTAAAACCACTTGACAAACAAAGGCTCCAATTATGGAGTTTCTTAGATCATCATCATTATCCCAGTGCCGCAAAGGCTCCCACCTACGGTGGGGTAGGGGGGGTCGCATGAACACAGCCTTACACCTGTACTAAAGCACAGAGAGACTGTTTTCGGATGACCCATAGTGAAAATTGCGTCGAAAATTGCATGGACTGACTGCTACTACATAACAAAGAAGCACAGACAGTTTAGTGAGCCACTTGCTTTATTTCATCATATTCCCAAGCCAAAAAATAGTGAGTCTTTGACTCCATTGCAAATGATGGAAATTATGGAGTCTCTTAGATGGCAAGAAATATTATTAAAAAAAAACAATCCCTCCCCACCCTCACCCATTTACACTCCACGTCCTTCCCAGTTAAAAAAAACAATATCTCCATAGCATTTCACTAATTCACTCTAGGCCGCCCAATGTGGAAGTATCACATTGATCATTTACTTCAAATATTCCATTCAAAAGTAGCTCTTATGTCTTTCTCAATATTATATTTAAGGGCGATTTTTTTCCATGAGTTACATTAGTATAGCCATTTTAGTCCTTTTTCTATATATGACCAAATTTTGTCTCTTGCTTTCTTTCATGGAAGCAGTTTTAGTCCCACGAAACTTTCATGATAGCAGTTTTAGTCCCACTTATAACTTCAAATGTACATAACTTGTAGATCCCAAAACTGAAATATACATTAAATTCTCTTTTTAGATATGACGTAGGTTACTTAAAATAACAGCTGTTAAAAGTTAAATTGTTTTTTATCAAAAAGTAAATGCTATTTTACGAAGGTTTTTGTTACCAACATGATATGTAAAATTTATTTTTTCTATAAGATCTATAACATTGAGTATTGAAAGAACCATCACCATAGGCATTTAATCATTTAGATAATATCCTTTCCTAAAAATGCTTATTGTTTTCAAGCTCTACATCGAGCAAAAGCACTTTATGACATTTGAAAAAGTTGAGTCATTTTTTTAAGAATAAAAGTTTGGGTAAAAGGAATATTATTCTAAATACCCAGTTACACTTTTATAAAAATAATTAATTCAACATATGTGCTGGTTTGTAGGGGCGGAGCCAGAAAAATGTGTGAGGGGGGTCGGAATTTAATTATATATAGTATCAAAATGATGGATAGTTATTATACAATACTTGAGTTAAATGTTTTATATGTAGCTTAGATAAATGGTAGTTTAATGAGCATTTTTCGGTTAATGTATTGATATATATGTAATGTATCATAATGCTCACATAACTAATGACTGAATAAAGTATTTTATTTTTAAATTTAAGAATATAATCAACGTCACATATCAAATTTTGCTTATTTCAAATTAGCATTTTGCTGATTTTTCAAGAAGTCATAACCTTTTACTCGTAATGAGTTACGGGACCCATAATATATCAAATCGAAGGTATTTCAGAGCTCTACAATCTTGAACTTTCAGCGGGGTCGGCTGATCACCCTGACCCCCCTGGCTCCGCCCCTGGTGGTTTGGGTTAGAGAAGTCGTAGTATAGTATACATGTAAAATATATATTTATCTTTTAACGTTAGTTATTTAAATAACCAATGTCCCATACATATCTTTACAGAACTTAAATTAATATATCAGTTTTGAATTTTCAAATTACATAAAACCATAGTGCTCATTAGGATTTTCTTAAGAAACATATCATGATAAGTGTAGAAGTTAGGTCACTTAGGTGAGACAGTGGACAAACAGGGAAGGAAATAATCATTTTCCTTTATTTGTATTGATCTTTCTTTGTGGTTGCATACTCTTAAAATTGTACTTTATTCAGAGTATAATAATAAAAACAATAATAATACTAAATGGTTAGTTCATGAAAATAAATACTCTGACCCATAGGCAACACATAGGAGAAAAACTAATTTCAAAGTTCATAAAAAAGAATTAATTTATCTATATGTCAATAGATAGTAAATACATATCTCGTAAGATTTAAATAAAGGTGACACTTTTACAAAAGAAAAAAACCTCTTTTGCTTGCACTATTTCCTCTAATAGTAAGGTTCCATCTAATGTCATGAGAGCTTCAACCCCAAAACTCAAACCTGTCATTACATAACAAAAACAAAAATCTAAAACAAATGTGACGAGCAAGTGTTTTTGGAAAACACAATTGTGCAACTATAAAAAGTGGTCACATTAGGTGCAGTTAAATTTTAAGCACCACTCTAAACACAGGAGATGAGCATGCCCATGATTTGCAGGTTGAATTTACAACATGCATCTTGATGGAAAATAACTATATAAAACACATGTCATGTTAATATGCATTCAAGTGGAAAAAGTTATTATGATCATAATGCCAGTATGCCGCCAATTCCAAATGTAGGTGTTGGTGTCATGAACCCGAGGAGCACAATAATGTAATACATGGGTTCAGTAACGATATTATGCGTATGAGGCTGGCATCACAGGGTTAAAAAATACATAACAATAGGGTATGCACAGCAAAAAGGATTAAAACAGTTGAGCATGGAGCCAGGCTTGTGATGGTGGAACTACATTTTGTCAGTCGAAGGAAAATGTCAAGTCAATCAAAAGGTTGAGAAGAAGTGGACTGGACACTTGGTATTTGCATATTTCTCTATGGTTGTGAGGCCGGCATTGAGTCCAGGCCCCAAGGATGTCAAGAAAGGAACTTGAAGTTACTAGTACACACATGGGGCGCGAAAGTATCACTTTCACTACTAGCCAGTGTGGCAATCCTGGTGTTCAATGTGGGTGGCCCGGTTATGGACACTTTCATTAGATAGTGGTATCAAAAACATGGCGAAGGTCAGGGTCAGGCGAAAAGATTGGGTGCAGAAGTGAAGAACAAATCTTAGAAACTAATTATTCAGTTTCCTATTATAATAATATTAGTTTTTAGTAAGTCATTGCTTAGTAGAGCTGTATAGCTTTGCAGATTTATTCCCTTTTAAGCTTTGGACTCCTGTAGTAGCCTAAATAAGGGATTGTGGTTTGGAATAATAGTCTATCTTTGAAGTTGCAATTTTGTCTCTCGAGAAAGCCAGAACATAATAAAAATCTATCATTGAAGCAGCAATTTTGTGTCTTGACAATTCTGTGCCAGAACATGTCATTCTCTGCTGAGGGTGAGAAGGTTTTATTCTTCTTAAAAAAGCCATAGCTTCCTTCTCTGAGACAATTATAAAAATACAGGAGTATTGAAACTCCCCTGCAAAAATACGGGACTTTGGTTTAGGGTATGAAAACATAGTATTCAGAAAGCTTAATTCCGAATGAAATAGGATTTAGAAGGAAAAGATGCTATTCAGAAATACCTATTCCGAAATACAACACTTCCTAAACAAAAATGCTAAAATCCCATTTTTGTTTAAAGTGTTGTAACTTTTTTATCTCTACTCTAATTTTTACAAAAGTATATCAAAATTCACAAATTTTATGATCTTTCATATGACACCAATATGGAATCATAAAGTTTCAGACCTATTTTTATCTTAAATAGATTCAAGTGCTAAAATTAACATCTCATTGTTAAAAAATTAAACAACAACAACATTACCCCAGTGCCGTAAGGCTCCCACCTATGGTGGGGTAAGGGATGATCTTATTATTAGCACTTCAATCTATTTAAGAAAAAAAATGGATCTTAAACCTTCGTGCATTTGAAACTTTATTTTTTGAACTCTATATATGCAATTTTGGTGCCATATGAAGGATCATAAAATGTTATGAATGTTGATATATTTTTTCTAAAAATTGGAGCACAAATTAAAAGTTACAACACTCTAAAGGAAAATGAAATTTTACTTTTTGTCTCGCCCCCACCCTTTTCTATCCACCCATCTTAATGCCCTCATTTGGAATAGGGGAATCTGAATGAGTTAAGAAAAAACTAAAAAAAATGACATTTGGAAAAGGCAATTCCAAATGGGTTCTTTTTCATATAATCCCTAATTCATTCAGAATCTATGAAGCACGGAAACTCTCCACGGCTCACGTTTCCACGTTTCGGAAACTCAGAAGCGTTTCGGAAACTCGGAAACTTCAAATTCCCGTTTCGGGGCCGTAATAGTGAATTTTTGTGGTATTTCTCAGCAGCAACACTTGTTATATTTCGTAACACAATGTATTGCTAGAAATATATTACTCCGTACATTTTATGTTTAATTATGTACTAATATGAAATGATATCTAAATTCGAACATGTAGAGTGGTTTTATTATTTGGTTACTTAACAAATTATATGGAAAAACTTATGTACATATATTAAAAAATATTTATAAATATATCCTTATATTTTATAATATTTACGCGTTTTCCCCACGTTTTGTATCCTATATTTTTTAGAAATTACGTTTCTCGCGTTTCCTGTTTCCCGTTTCACGTTTCCATGCTACTTAGTTTAGAATACAACTTTCCAAATTGCGTAATCCGGGAAACCCTAAAAAAATCCCATTCTTTTTGCCTTGCCCGTAGGCTTTTCCAATGTAATTAAGGCCTTGAATGAGATCTTGTATGTTTGCCGCTAACAATTCAGTATCAGAATCCAGGATCACATAGGATGATGATACTAGCCTGGATACCATTAAGACTTTCATGGACAGCAGCATAACACGAATACACAATGTCAAGGCAGCCTAGATGAGGTCTATTTCAAAGGCAGAGGAGACACGGTAGAGGAGAAGATTTTGGTCCTAATAACAGCAGTTTTGGCGACTCGTCTAATCTATTCCGACAACTCCGAAGCTCAGGCTAGATGTCCTAAATTCTGCATCCACAGCAGCACGCGGCCTTGGAGGGAGGCACCTTTAGTCCCACACAGTTTGAAGTTGGACTGTCCTTCGATAGCACGGACAATCCATTAGGCTGGCTTAAGCGTTTTAAGCGGTTTTCCATTGATCAGCAAACTGTAGCAATGCCATGGGTGAACCTGGTCACATTTCACATGGTCAGCGAAGCACGGCTCTGGGAGTACCAGCTTGAGTACTTGAGATCCTTTGAGCAAATGTCCAAACAGTAGCCAACAAGGCATCTCAGCTTAAATCAAAAGTTACAAACTCATCGACATAAAATACATATTCATTTTCATATACAATATAAGTTTGATTCGTTGACATATTTCAGATTGGGTGTTTCGGTTCTAAATATTTTCAGCTAAATAAGAGTTCACTGCACTTTTATCTAGAGATGAAAGTAATGCATTCTATCTATAATACTTTTAGTTAAGAGGCATTTCAATAATAAGTCAGATTTGAAAAGCTATAACATGCACAAAACTAAGTGATATCCATTTCAGAATGAAACAGAAAGATTAAATAATTGAAAATTTAGATTCGAGGTATTTGCGAACTAGCCAACACAAACCTGTCTTGAATGACTCAGGCAGTGTATCAAAATATAACTTATATTTTGAGTCGTGGTTGTGCTTCTCCTTCATGCTCCACAATAACAGCATTGTTTCTGAGGACATCCCATCTACTCCTTTAAGAATAGAATACTGTCCTAGAAGAGAGAGAGAGGTTGTTAAACTAATGCAAGTCAAAGCCCCTAGTTAACAGCATACATATTTTGTGCAAGAAACTTAATTGCTTATGGGAGATCAAAATATACATTTTTAATGAGCATAAAGGGATATTAGGAAAAATTCATAACTTTCAAAATATAGTAAAAACAAAGGTATGTACCATGTCAGATTCATGCACAATGCTCTCAGATATGATAACAGATATGGGGACCTCTAGTGCAATGTCTCCAACGTTCAGGTCTTGAGTTGCTATGGCGCCTCTTCCCGCTCCTTCGACACCTGTAGATACAGCTATATCAGAATAGTTTGAATTATCTTCCTTGCTTTTCCTCTACTGGTAAGAATAAGAGATGAAGTCTCGCATAATGTTTCTTTCCCAGTATGACATATGAATGCACTGGTGTTTTACATTCAAATAAGAGGGTAGGCAAAGCGGACTCCACTCTCTTTTAATTACCTGGCTATTTGCCAACATAACAAAATGGGACTGTCAACACATCATAGACCCCCCCCCCCCCCAGTTTTATGTAAAATTTTAAATACTTGGAAAGATGAATGAATTACTTGTATGAGATTTATCTTCCATGGAAATGCATTTTGATCAATTAATAACTTACAAGCTATCCTCAAATTTGACATCACACCATTCCTTTCACCCCACTGCAACAAAGAGTTCTCCCTTTCTATTCTACACCCTGAGCAAATTTTAGTGTCCTCTCTAATTCTATTTGAGCACTCAGATATCACATCAACAGTTGCTTTCCGTAGCTCTTGTAATACAGTTGCATTAGCATTTCTGCTGCTGAGCAGTGCCTCATCAGTGGCTGAAAGGACTGATTGCAGTGCTTTTAGTTCATTCCTTGGACTATAGAAACCAACAAAATTATTGGCTTCATCTCCACCAAAATAAAGTTCTAGCTGCAAAACAATTAATTACTATCGCTTAGAGTAATAAATTTAATGAAAATGCAAAGCTATGTTTTCTTACACAAATTAAACAGAATGTTGAAGAGAAAATATGAAAGTCATTACTAGATGAGTTCACTGAATGAATGACTTTAAAACAGGTCTAGAAGACAGCATTAATATACCAACACACTAAACAGTAAACGCTAAAAGAAGAGCACGGTTTTTTAATGTGTGCCACTTCAGAGACAACAAACTGGCTCTGCACAAGGATTATAGAGAAAAAGGGGATTACCTCGTCTAGATTTATGATTCTAGCTTGTTGAAGCATCGAATTCAAATTGCTTTTTATCTGATCAGCATTAGCAGAGACTTGTAGGGGCATCAGTCCCAATGGATTAGAACCTATGTCCTGAAGTAGTTTCTGATGAAAAAAATTGAAAGTTAAAGAAAACATTGAACTGATGAGGGAGTGTCTGGTATGAGATATACAAATTATTTTTCAAAAGAGAACTATGCTTTAGAAATTTTCCATCATTTGCAATGGAGCCAAAGATTCATTATTTTTTGGCTTGAGAATATGATGGAATAAAGCAAAATGGCTCACTAAAATGTCTGCGCTTCTTTGTTATGAAGTGGCAGTCAGCCCATGCAATTTTGGACGTGATTTTCACTATGGGTAATCCGGAAACAGTCTCTCTGTGCTTCAGTACAGAGTACAGAAGTAAGACTGCGTACATCCGACCCCCCCCCCCTTACCCCACCGTAGGTGGGAGCCTTTGCGGCACTGGGGTAAATGAAAATGAAAATGATGAATGAACTATGCTTTAGAAACTCCAACCATCTTTTTCTTGAACCAGATGTCATTTTCTGGAAGTTCCAGCTTTAATGAAATATCAGCATCAGCAAGGTCAGTGTCATGGGGTGAACACTGGCAATAAACAAAAGAAACAACCCTTTTAGGGGTAAAAATTCATTTATGGAATATCAACAAATTGTACAATCTACATTGTATTCACTATTAAACGAATCTAACATATTTACTTTGAAAGCTTTGGGAATATATTCAGTTTATTGAGAGCACAGAAATGGCTATTTAAAATTTGAAAGCACAAAGTTCAGAGCTCCTTATCTCCTTGCATGAATAACACATGCAATCTGGCATGAGGGCAATGAAAGATGAACATTATATTATAAGAAGAGTTCATAAGAAGAGGGATGGGGTGTCATCCTTTTTATAAGAAGAGTTCATTCAAGGATATAGTTAAACAGAATTCCAATACTTCAATACAAATGCCAATGGAAAGCTTTAAGATCATGCAAGCGATAGTTCAATATCCTTGCATTTGTTTACTGATATGTGGGTTGTGGAAATGCAAAACTCCAATTAAAGTTGTCTCTAAAATCTTAACCATTGGGTAATTATTTTTCACAAGAACAGTCACCATGCTAAAACTGAATTCCTGAGTGGACCACTCTTTGATTTGGGATGCCCATACAAATCCATGATGAATTAGTTTGAAATACAAGTATTGTTTTGATGCTACTGAGATTCAAAATTGTTCAAAAGGGACTTTAATAGCTGAAGACAAGTACATGTCACTATGATGAAACGCCAAAGAATTAGTTGGCTATTAAAAAGTAAATTAAAGATTTTAAACATATATTTCGCTTATCCGTGAACTTCAACCCACTAGAGGCCTAGTCTAGATCCGCCCATGTGGCTGTGCTGGAATGGAATTGATGGCCGGTTATGTGTAAATGAGTATTCTCATCAGGCAGGTTTGATGGGAATCTTGCAAGTCCAACTTCATTTTTGGCCCAAAAATGAATTTTAATGATTCAAACTCACCTTTTCACCTTTAATATTTATCTGCTGGTTAAGATAATTAATAAAAAATGGAAATAAGCTTGATAAATTTAAACCTTTTGATAATCTAAGGATTGAAACTAATCATTAAGGCTAATTGGCAAAAAAAGACTTCATTTTTTCTTCATTTATTACCAAAAATGAGTTTGGCGTAACTCCAGTCAGGCGAATGTTCATATACTCCCCTCTGTATATATAACACTATTTAACAATAGGTTGATTTAAATCCCTTTAATGTTCAACATGCAATGCGCATAGACACTCAAACTTTACCAATTGTTCAATAAAAAAACATTCATGAGCAGGAACTACTCAACAAAGTTGACAAAAGTCTTCAACAAAGATGCAATCAACAATGGACATCATTCATTTCACTTATAAGTTATAACTACTCAACTTTTCATGAAAATATGCTGGCATTCAACTCCACCGCAATAATTTCAAGTATCATCTATAATCTAGACTAGCTTTTTAGGTTTACTACTCCCAGTTCCAAATAAATGATGAAAAATATATATAGCACCAAAAAATGAAAGAAAACAAAATATAGCACCATAGAACGTTTTCATGACTGAGCAGAAAGGGAAAAGATAGAGAAATACTCCGTAGTATATATGAAATCTTGAACTATACCTTATGAATTTCCATTGACGAAAGCAAGAAAGTGTTCAGTGTAGTTTTCCGCTAAATCAGCCAATATACTGTGAGTTTTGTTTTGTGTATTGTTTATAGTAGGAAGAAATAGTCATGAGAAAATGGCCTTTCCAGAAATAAAGATGCTCTTAATTCTCTTGCACAAGGCAATCCGTTAGTGGTGGGGCAGTCCGGTGATGGCAGCCGCGAACTCCAGCAATAGGGGCGGCAAGTCACACCTAGAAGGATATTTTGATATAATCACAAACAAAAACCTATTTAAGGATGTTTAAACTAGTTGGTTCTATTTTGACTAAAATACTAAGTTTTGATCTTATTAAGGTAAACCTCACAATCGCAATTTGTGCTTTAGTTATTGTTTCGGTTTAATACACCAACCCTACCTTGTCATACGCTATGTGATTATACACAATTTATTAGAATTAAAATGATTGATGTATATGGGACGTAGTTATGAGGAGTAAGAGTCGGGCTTAGGAAAACCCTACGCGTCGAGCTTGTGCGCGATCTAATCTCCTAACATTCTCCACTCCGATAGACAAGAGTCTTCGAAGTTAGCGACGTTCTTTGGGCAGTAAAGAATCAAAAGTTTTTCTATACAGGTGGTCGTTTTTTATTTCTACCCTCTAGAGTTTTAATATTAGTCCGGCTTCTTCTTCGGCCCAAAGTTGTGTCCACTTCGAGTGAGCGTGATAGAGGTTGTCTGTTCCTCGTAGGTGTAATCAATCGAGTGGTGCATTTTCATTATTCATGATGGGCAAGACAAGTTCAACCTAATTCTTCTAAAGTTTTAACTACTTGTCATCCTCCTGAACCACTGTCTCACTCTGAGAGTCAACTAGATCTCCATTTCGGTGGATGATCAAATCGATGATTCATCCAATTTATACTCGATTGAGTCTCATTTGTTGGTTGCTAGTAAAACTGATTCTCCCTTTCTGGTGGCTGTTTTAGCCGAATCTTTAATTTGTAATTTTTTATTTGGAGTAGCAAAAAAAACATGACTCTTATTGTACGGTCAACGATCTTTAAGGGTTCACGAGATCTTTTCCGTTTTGTGTCTCATCTCATTTAGCCTTAGGCTACTCATTCACTTGTTCCTTTGTTACTACCTTTGTCACACTAACATTGGGACAAGAGAGGGTGACACAGTTATTAAAAATGAGTTTATATGATTTATATTGAATCGAAAAAGTAATACTCCGTAATAAAGTAATAATGCTTTAAAACCACAAAAATTACCAAATTTCGTATCACACGGTTTCAGTGGGACGGACCGAAAAGAAAAGATGAGGCAATCTTAGCGGGGTGGAGAGAATATCATTTAATGAATAAATAAGTTATTTGATTTAAAAACAAGCCATGTGATTTTAAAATGCGTCAAACCCCATGTTTGAAGGAGTTTTGTGCATGGATAATTATAGCACATGAGGGTTCAATGCATTTCGTAAATCCGAAAAGGTTGATGCGCTAAATTTATACATCACGAGGAGTTTTGATGTATTAGAGCCATTTAAAAACAATGTGACAGACAAGAATAAAACATTACTCCTTTCAGCGATATAATTTTTCCTTTTGCTTGTTCAAAGTTTCACCGTTTAATTTGTAGACTCATTTTTTCTTTTCTTTTTTTTACCTTTTGGAAGTTAGAATTGTAAAACATTTATTTTATCTTTTATTTTCTTAAAGCTCCTACCAAACTCATATGTATGTATCTAAAAAAAATCTACACCAAGCCACCTGTATCTTGCATCATGCAACGGAGGTAGAAGAATAAGAAATCGCCTAAAATAGGTGTAAAACACGATAACGGTGCAAAAATAAGGCATGTTTTAATTTCCTTAAATATGAGTAATTTTGTGGTGACTGCGTGTGGTAGCTACAATCCGGTTGCAGTCTAGTGATCGGCAGCTGCAACCCAATGAGTAGTAGCTGCCGATCACAAATTATTACTCCTATTTATAGAAGTTTAAACATTTATTCTTATTTTTGTAGGTATGTTTTGCTCATATTGTGGGGTTTTCTCTAAAAGAATTTCAAAACAGAGGTCCATGTTTCATACTACTCCATACTTAGTACATATTATCGTTCTAACTTTATGTAGTTCTAAGCCATACTATTTGATGAGCTTTGAGCTTGTAAACTTATTTGGATGGATTTGCTTAAATTGGTAAGTCCATTATTCTTTGTTGGTAAATTGACCCTACCTTTTCAGTTTCTACAAAAATCATTTTCTTTTCCCTGGTTTAAACCACACAAGGTGCTGAGGGTGCCGCGGAACACCTCCTTAATTTATTGAAATAAAATTCCTGAGTACAAGAGATTTGAGAATACATATGATGAAACTGAAAGAACAAGATAAAAGACAAACAAAAAAATTACATCAAAAATTGATTTTTTTTGAGGGGATCCCAATTGAAGCTGAAATAGCTCTGTTATATTTGTTGTGAAATCTGATTATTTATGCGGTGAAGATAACCTAAAGCGCTGAAGAGCTGCTGCCAGTTTATGCGGTGAATTAAACTGAAAGAACAAGACAAAAATCATTTCTTCATGTCATTGGATCCTTCATCTCAAGAGTGCTTTTTTGAATCACTCATAATTCCAAGAATTGTATGTTATCCTGACTATGACTATGAAATGCTCTTGTACATTTTATAAATGCAATCCACCTGCTTTCAAGTTTGTAAATGTAATCTATTAATATCTAAAAGCAAAATGTTCTTTGGGGTGAAATTCCCGCTCAAAACTGTCAACATCAAGTAAAACAATTTTCTAAATTACAAAAAAAAAAAACAATAGTTCAAGATAAAGATATATTCTTAATGATTTATGCGTGAAGGGTAGACAAGTGCCAAGTGGGGGATACAGTGATATAGATATGTATCAATGTATGGATTAACACATTCACATGCTTAAAGGTAATATGTACAGTATTGTTGATTACACACATCTTGAGGGGGGGATTTGGCAGGTCCCACGGGCCTTAAAATGAATATAAAAATACAAATAGATTGATACGGAGTAAATATTTAAGAGCCCATGCCATGCTCACAAAGTGCAGTATCTTGATAAATCTTATGCGTGTACTTCACTCATTCAGTATCTTGATAAATCTTATGCGTGTACTTCACGCATGCATGTTTTTAGGTAACCAAATTTTTTAGAGAAAACTGTCAAATGAGTCCATCTACTATTTCAAAAAAGTCAATTGAGTCCACATACTATTTTTCTAATCAATTAAGTCTACCAAGTTACAAAAAACGACCAAATTTGCCTTTTATCATGTTATTGACCGGTTTTCCCTGTTAATCTGCCTATGTGGACATCCATGTGGCTTTTTTTTCCTTGTAAGCACTACTTGGCCGTCCATGTGGCATTAAAGTCTTCTTTCCTTTTAAAAATATCTTCTTTTTTTATTTCCTTCTCTTATTTTCTTTAAGTCTTTCTCTCTCTGCCTTTTCTTCGTTTTTCTCTTGTTCTCTTCGTTCTTTCTCTTTTCTTTCTTTATTCCCTTATTCTTTTTTCTTGCTTCTTCCCATCTACACCACTCCATCTTTATACTGCCATCCCCGCAGAACACTTCCGCCGCCGTCTTCCCCGGCGTCTCGCTCTGCCGCTGTCATCACCATCGGCGTCGAGCTCTGCCGCCGGCATCACCATCAGCGTCGAGCTCTGCCGCCGGCATCACCATCGGCGTCGAGCTCTGCCGCCACCTTCTCCGTTGCCGTCTGGTTGCCATCGAAGAAGATCTGGGGTTTTCACCGGGTTTTAGTCGGGTTGCCTTCTCCAGCCATGAAAGACAGGGATAGAAGGTTGAGTGGAGTAGAAGAAGTGGATTAGAGAAGAGAAAAAGGAAGAGGAAATAGAAAGAAAAAGGAAAGGAGAAGGGGTGGGCAAGATTGCAAGAATAGAGGGGGAGGTTGAAATGTTGAATTGGGTGGGGGCGTGGGGTAAAAGCAGTGGAGAAGAAGAGGTTGAAGAATAGGGGAGAGGGGTTGTAGGGAGATTGGAGAAGAAGGCGAAAAAAGAAAAAAGGGAATGAAGAGGGGGGGGGGGGTTGCAGGCGTCGGAATGGGTCACCAGAGGGGGAAAAGGAAGAAGAAAGAAAAAAGGAGAAATGAAACGAAAAAAGGGAAAGGAAGAAGGAATGGAAAAAAAGGAAAAAGTATAAAAAAGCCCAAGTGGCCTCCACATCAGCAAAAAAAATGGGTCACCGGTTGTTTACCGGTTAATTGACAAATTTGGTTAAAATTTGAGACTTTGTGTACCCAATTGATTGATAAAATAGTATATGGACTCAATTGACTTTTTCAATATAGTACGTGGACTCATTTGACACTTTTCTCAATTTTTTAAATGAAAATTTTGGGTATAAAAGCACAGTTCTATCGACTGGGATGCATCACACTTGCTCGCTGCAGCTCCCATAGCAAACTCCCACAGCAAATTGTAGAATTTTCTCCAAAAATGATTGAATTGTGGTCTCTACTCTCTACTCCAAAATCAAAAGAGAAATGAAAGCAAGAGCTATTAGGGTGTTAGGATGACTGTGAGCGTGCTCATAATGGTCCCAATTCACTGGAAATCATATTTCATGATGAGGTTCTATGTTTTAGAGGTTTCTATTTATATCTTCTTATAAAGTTATTTTGAAATTAATTGGTCGAAAAATCTATAGCTGTCAAAGATACTTCACATTCCTGAGAAATTCATTGCTAAAGTTAATACAAGTAACTATTTTGCTAAATAGGAACCTCTAAAACATAGAACCTCATCATGAAACAACACACAAAAACTGTGTACTCTTCATGAAGAAAAAAAGGTTTGATTTCTATTACTGAGATTTTTTTATTTATTCCACAGGTTATAAATTGTTTATGCATTTTATAGGTGAAGGGTGGTCTATTCTCAAACAATAAAATGAACACAGTAACATTTTAAAGATAAGTACGAGCATATGAAATACTCCGTATAAAGTTTATCATACTAAAAACTGAAAAAAACAAAAAAAAAACAGATGATTAATACCTAATTTCAGATCCAAACAAATGCCAAACGGTGAATGATAGTGTGGCCTCTACAATTTCTGACTCATAAATTACATGCACACAGGTTTATGTTCAGATTAGGGTGAGCATGTATACTTCCGTTCCTTTTTAATGGAAACAGTCTAACTTTCACGTTTGCCAACACACAAGTTTGAATATTAATATCTTTCATTGGTATTACTAAAAAATTTAAAAAAAAAAGCATATTTTGAAAATGTAGAAGGAGAAGAATTTAACAATATTTTAAAAAAATTAGGTGCTAAATACATCAATTAATAAAATGTAGTTAAAATAGAATATGTGAATAATGCAAAAAGTTCAATGTTGCAACTAAAAGAGAACGGAAATAGTATAAAAAATCTTGAAGTCCATTTGACAAATAATATAAAACACCTCCTTTCAAATCTATATAAATGCAAATAGGTGAACATTTTATCTCTAAGCTACGAAATTCAGTTTTACATATGTTCGGACCTTAAGAATATGAAATAAAATGGAAAAGATAGATATATTTACCTTCATCACTGTTGAAATAGATGTATGATTTTTCGCAGTCGTTGTTGGTGTACAACACCACTTGATGAACTGACCAGTTTGAGTTCTTCTGTGTTCGGCGCTGTAGATCAGAAGGCTTCACTATGATCAGGCGGTGAATGTGTTTTGTGGTTGGCTCAGAAATACGACTCTGGCGGAATAGAGGCGGCAAACCTAAGAGTAGGAGAAGCTACACCGGTGGGTGGATTTTTGGGTGAGAGTTGGTGGGAGCAGCAGGGACGGAGGAGTGATCACTGGATTGTGGTGACTGGAGGGGACAGAGTAGGAGGAGTTGCGGAGGGAGGTGTCGCATATGAAGAAGACGGCGTAGCAGCCGGGCATACAACTGGAGTCGAAGCTTTCTTCGGGGAAGACACCGGAGACCTAAAGCAGATCAAAGCCATATTTTATCCTCAAAACTAGAGATGAGATCTGGATAGAAAATGAGCAATCTAGATCGGACGTACAAAAAAAGTGGCTTTTGGTTTCGTGAAGTATATGCGGAGCAAGTATATGGTGGCTTTCTCTATTTCCTAATGCTTTTTCCTTTTTTAAAAAAAAAAAAACTCTTTTTAAAAGTGATTTTGGATAATATGATTAGTAGTAAAAGTTGTGTTTGAGAAGAACGTGAATTTGAAAAGTAAAGCTGGGTCATGTTTGGTAAAATATGTGCTTTTTGTATAATAGAAATAGTAATAAATACTTTTCAGTCAAAAACCAAGAAACGCTTTTTTAAGTAGAAATTGTCATCTGAAAATACCAATTTTAACTTTTTAAGTCAAAAGTCGAGAAACCTTTTTTAAGCTCTTGCAAATAGAGGCTTGGTCAATTCAATTGAAAATATAAAAAAATTGAGTCTATTGGATAACTTTTTATTTTATTTTATCGGCCTTAAGAGTCAATATCTATTACTCCCTCCGTCCCATAATTATTTTCATTCTTTCCTTTTTGGTTCGTCCCAAATTTATCTCCTCTTTCCTTTTTTAGCAAAGGATTTGTGGTTCACAACTATTCTTACACATTTCTCTCTCCTCTGCACAACTCTCCACCACACATTTCCCACTTTCTTAATCTCCGTGCCCAGTCAAAACCGAAGTTAATTCTGGGACGGAGGGAGTATCTATTATCTATTATAATATAAAAGCAAAACAATTTTGGGCTTAAAAAACGAATGGGTTCCCGAGGGTTTTTTGTGCAAAATCTCCAAAAATGGGGCCCCTACATGTGAGCTTTTGGGATTAAACGAATGGATAAGACCGGCTCAGCCACTGTATAGATTTCTTTAGGATTTGCATCTCTCTGTGTCCGATTTCTAAAATGTGTTGATTCTTAAGCATTCTTATTAATAACTTCAAATGTTAACCGTGCGATGCGCGATCAGTCGATGAGATCCAGATGTACTATGACTGTAGATACGTTTTTGCGTGCGAGGCTGCTTGGCGCATATTTGGGTTTGAAATTCAGTACAAGACCCCGGCAGTTGAACCTTTGAGCTTCCATATGCTGGAAGAAGAAAGTGTTGTCTTTTGTGATCATCAGTCTCTGGATTCAGTGATTCGGGCATGTTCAATTAAGGACAATATGTTCACAGCAAGGATGAAGGGTAATAATAAGTACCCAAAAGTAATGCTTTAGTATTGTGATGTCAATGCATATTTACAATGCTATGGTTTCAATGTATTTGTTAGATGTTTTTGATCTTTTAAGTAGTACTTAGGGGGTGTTTGGAACTGATTCTGTTTTTGTTTCTTTTTTAAAGCAGAAGCAAAATCAGTTTCCAGAAGCTAGCATACCCCAGCTTCTAAAAAACTGATCCTAGGAGTAAATTAGAGCATAAGAATCACTTCTGCACTTTCACCAAAATACTCTAACTTCTGTTTCTTCTCTTTGAAGGAGCAGAAGCAGTTTTAAGAATCAGATCCAAACACCCTTTTAGTAATCTCATTTTGACCATAATATTATAATTGTGTTTCGATTTATGCTTTGATGTATATCAGAATTACGTGAAGATAGATGATGTCATCAATTGATAATGTGATTTGAATTAGGAGCACACATACATTTGAAAGAAAAATTCTCAAACCGTGTATCGCACGGGTGAGTTTACTAGCCCCGGATGAGTCACCACGTTATATTGCAAAGAAATGTTAAAATGGGTATGTTTCGAAGTATTCTGGGTTAGGAATCGCAGGCCAAAAACAAACCCAATTGGTATTTTACAATTTCACAAGTTTTTTATATTATTTAATTGAAAAATGGTAACCATGATTCAATTGGGTTAGTTTTTACAAGTTTATTCTTTATTCCAAATTTGACTAAATATGATTGAGCAGGTGGAAGATTCACCAACCGTGCATTAAAAATAGACCCGGCAATATGTTTTTAAATATGTGATATCTATCGGTTCTGATCGTGTGGTGAATACATAATCCCGATTACGGTCCCCCCAAAAAAACTTCTTCAATACCACAATGTGTTAGAATTCTGCAGATTATTTCTAACAGAACTAACAACTGATTCAAGAACGTAAAATGCAACTTTATTTCTCAGGCAACAATGGCCGAATGGCCTAAGGCAACTACAGTTTACAAGTCAATTACAGCCTACATTTCCCTTCCCAGACTAATTCTATATATAGACTTCCCATACAGCCTACTCTAGCTATTATTTAATAACCGAAATATAACTACAACTAACTCTTCAATATATTAGTCTAATAGTTAGATCTCTATCACAATGCCCCCGTGATTTGCAAGTTTACAAAGACAATTCTTTTTTAAAATGCAATTTGTCTAAATAATAGTCATCGTATTAGTTCAATGTTGTTGTCTATAAAGAAATTTAACAACAAGTCTAATGTGTTTTCAAATTATATTTATACTTTCGTGTGATCAGTGGTAATCGAATTTATTATATTGCATCACATATCAAAATTCATTATTGTAGGGACTATAATTCAAAACTAATAATTTTTTTCTAAATGATTCATTTAGAATTACAAGTTTATTCTTTATTTCAAATTTGACTAAAAATAATTAAACATGTGAAAAATTTATCAACCGTGCATCGCACGGGTGTTCTATGGACAAGACTAGAATTACTATGGATATAATGTCATTGTCATTTGACGTGACAATTAAACATAAGCTATATGACTAAAGTTACTACCGTAGTCATTATACTTCAGAGATCACATTTTTATACACAGATTTTATTTTGGTCATGATCATGTAATTATTTCAAAAAGATTATATGCATAAAAGAATACCTAAATTTGTCCTCTACAATAGTAGATGACTTATTTGAACATGTTCACATAAATTTATGTTTACACATAATTCAAAAATTACACATGTTTTCACATATTTGCACACCCCCTGATTTGCCAGTTTACAAAAGCAATTCGTTTAACTAATGCAATTCGTCTAACCAATGCAATTTGTATAGATATAAAACCACTCTATTACTTAATCATTATAAATTATTTTCCTTCATCGTAACTAAAATTTCTAAACCTTTTAATATGGAAAAATCATTTGCTAAATTCTACTGGAAGAAAGGATTTTAACAAGGGTTAGTGCGAGACAAAGTGTGTTAATTTCTCAAGCATTCATTAACAGCTCCACATATTAGCTTGCCTTTCCAATGTGCTATGTATTTTGGATGTAATAATACTCAAACATAACTTATCTTAGTTCTGACAGTGTGTCAAAGGTAGATTCTACGACTGATCTAATGGCAGAACTGCACACTCATGAATTCCTAAATAACATTAAATTGTCTGGTGTACCGAATCACAAGTTGACATTAAAGGTTGGGACCCCAGCCATGCTTCTCAGAAATATTGATCATTCCATGGGGTTGTGTAACGGTACTCGGCTCATTCTCACCAAGCTTTGTGATCATGTTTTGGAGGGAAAAATTTTGACGGGTGTTAGTGCCGGACAGAAAGTGTTGATTCCTCGATTGTCCTTGACTCCCTTTGATGCCAACTTGCCTTTCAGATTTCAGAGACGACAATACCCCATTATGATTTCATATGCTATGACTATAAATAAAAGTCAGGGCCAATCATTGTCCCGTGTGGGTTTGTTGCTAAGGAAACCTGTTCATGCATGGACAACTCTATGTTGCGGTTTCAAGAGTAACCAATAGGCGTGGTTTGAAAATTCTTATATGCAATGATAGCGGCAAGACGTCGAATTCCACTCAAAATGTGGTTTATAAGGAAGTTTTCAATAACGTGTAGAGTTGCATTCCGTTATGTTTTTAACAAATGCCTATAGTTTATTGCAGAATTATTTTGGTGTACTTTAATATTATATTTCTATGTTTAATATTTGCTGATCTTGAATTGTGTACTCTGTAACTTATCACCAACGCTTTTGTATTGTTGTGAATAAATCTTTTGTGTCGGTTGTTTTGAAAACATTATGAAAGAAAAAAATGGGATACAAATTTTCCGACCGCCCCCCGATTCACCGACGCTTTATGAACAGTAAAAATGGGACAAATAATAGATAAAAATGTAATAAAAATATAGAAAAAAATAAACGGGCGGGTATGGGGCAGGTAATGGCGCGGGTATGTATAGAACTGTAATTGCCCTGTTACCCCTTAAAAACAAAAACGGGTATTCCATGTACCCGTTACCCGCTCAATACGGTTTTCCCCATTTTGACAGGGGCGGTTCGGTGCGGATATCCATCGGTGCAGTCAAAATTGACATCCCTACTCACAAATGGGTTACTTTTATTTGTTTTAAATACTCACTTTGTATTAAAAATAAGTGTCTCAATATGTTTTTCATGTAATTTAAGATATAATTATATGTTTACTGTTCACTATTTGAAAAGGTATGAGAGTTTTAGTACTATTGGAGTATTGTTTACCTTAGAATATATATTATAGTTGTTTTTGGGGTGGATTTATTTCCTAAAATATTGTAAGACATTTATTTTGATACGACTAAAAAAGGAAAATAAGACACTTATTGTGATAAGGATGGGGTAAATATTAGTCCCTTCGTCCCGTACAGGGGATCTTATTTTCTTTTTTCAGACGTCTCATATAAAGATTCTCATTTCTTTTCTAGGAAACAACTAACACTCTTAAATGATACACCTATAATTTATATTTAAGCATAGGTTAAGATTGACAGAACTTATTTTCACATATATGCACCCCCCGATTTGCATGTTTACATAGGCAATTCGTCTCACAAATGCAATTCGTATAGATGTAAAATTACTCTATTACTTAGTCATTATAAATATTTACCTTTAACGTACTAAAATATATAAACATTTGAATATCGGAAAAAAATAGCTAAGATTTCATTGGAGAAACCGATTTCAACGGGGGTTTAGTGCGAGGCAAAAGGTGTTAATTCTCAAGCATTCCTTGACGCATTCACATATTAACTTGCTATTCCAATATATTCTTCTATAGAAAATGTCTTTCATCTCAATAAAATTCTTCACAGGTCAGGCATT